GGGGGGGGGGGCTGGGGGTGGCCTGGGACATCCCCTCCTACCCCCAGTGCACTGGGGACACCCCTGACGTGTTGGGGACACGTTGTGACACCCCTCAACATTTTGGGGACCTCACAGCCACGCTGGGCATCCCCTCGAAGACTGGGAGAGCGCCACGGGGCGGCTGGTGACACCCCAAAACACCTTGGGGACACTCGGTGACATCCTCCAGCGACAGCTTGGGGATCCCCCGCGCGCGCCCAGAGGGCTCCGGGTGTCCCCCAGAAGACTCAGTGAGTGCAGTGGGGTGGCCGGTGACACCCCGCAACACCTCGGGGACACTTGGGGACCCCTGAGGACCCCCCTCCACCTCCAGGAGGGCTCTGGGTGTCCCCTGGAAGACTCTGATGTCCCCTCAAAGCCTCAGTGAGTGCAGTGGGGTGGCCGGTGACACCCTGGAACACCTCAGGGACAATGAGTGAAACCTTTGGGACAGTAAGTGATGCCTCAGGGACAACCAGCAACACCTCAGCAACAGTTGGGGACACCTTGGGGACCCCCCGCCATCTCCAGGAGGGCTCTGGGTGTCCTCTTGAAGACTCTGGTGTCCCCTTGAAGCCTCAGTGAGTGCAGTGTGGTGGCCGGTGACACCCTACACCACCTCGGGGACAATCGGAGACATCTCAGGGACACTCGCAGACCCCTGAGGACCCCCCTCCATCTCCAGGAGGGCTCTGGGTGTCCCCTAGAAGACTCTGGTGTCCCCGTGGAGACTCAGCAAGGGCTGTGGGGTGGCCGGTGACAACCTGCAACGCCTCAGGGACACTTGCAGCCCTCTGAGGACCCCCCTCCATCTCCAGGAGGGGTCCTGTTGTCCCCTTGAAGCATCTGCTGTCCTCGTGAAGCCTCAGCAAGTGCTGCGGGGTGGCCGGTGACACCCTACAATGGGGGTACAACTGGGGACACCTTGGGACACCTCGGGGACAGGTTGGGACCCTTGAGAACCGCACGCTATCTCCAGGAGGGCTCTGGGTGTCCCCTTGAAGACTCTGATGTCCTCTTGAAGCCTCGGTGAGTGCTGCAGTGTGGCCGGTGACACCCTGCCAGGCCCTGGGGACACCTCGGGGACAGCCAGGGCCCCCCGGGGACACTCACTCGCTGAGGGCCTGGGGGTCCTTCTGCATCTGCTCGAGGATGAGGCGCATGGCGGGGTCGCTCATGATCTGCTGCACCTCGGGGTCGGCCATGGCGCGGCGCTTCACCTCCTCGGGGGTGTCCTGGCGGTGGTACTGCGCCAAGAGGCAGCGCTGGTACCCCTCTGCCGCCTCCTGGGGACACGGGGACGGGGGGGTCAGCGGGGAGGGACGGGGGGTCCCCTCCGCCTCCTCCTCGCCCCCTCGCACCTTACAGCCCGCGTCCAGGTCCAGAGCGCGCTGGTACACGTCCATGGCCTTGCTGTAGTCCTTCATGGCCTCCAGCGCCGCCGCCTTCCGCGTGTAGCCCTTGACT